GGATCTCAGGAGGGAGATTGTTCCAGAGGCGAGGAGCCACCACCGAGAAGGCCCGGTTTCGTGTCCTTTCTTTATGGGCCTCCCTCGTCGTTAGGCTCCTCAGCCTGACCTCCTGGCTCATGCGGGTGATCCGAGTAGATTTAAGTGGAAGCAGGCGTCAAGTATAACCACTGGTGTTGTAATCGAACACTTGTAGAGGGAAGTGGGTTGGTGAAAGTGCTGTCTCTTTCATAGGATCGTAACTTCTCTCTCTGTCCAACCTGCTTCGTCTACAGCAGATGTTTGCTGTTCTTTTTAGCAGTTGACCGGGAGAAGCAGTGTGCTGATCATTGGCCAGCCTTTGCTTCTGACCTCATTCTCTTTTTTAATTAAAGGAAGGGGGAATAGTGTGGCAGTTTTCAATCTGAATTGGTTAGTTCCATCTTTATTTTAAAATAAGCTTCTGAATAACTAAAATGACCTCCCAACTAACTGAGCATTTTTTTTTGTTGTTGAGGAAAAAAAGAGACTGTTTTTAATAGGCCTAAGAATACAAGTGGCAAGATCCATCTTAACAGGCATATATCCTTCTCTGTGACCCATCTTTTAAGACTTCATCACAACACAACTCTTTTTGGTTGATTCTGGCCCCTTCTAAGGCAAGGGGCAGTGCTTCTGTAATACTTGTTAGATTTTTTTATGGGGCTATTTGTTTACTTAGATATCTATTGCTGGACCATGCAAACACAATTTTGCAAAAAGAGGCTGTTCTTATTCGCAGTTATATAACAGACCACACGAACAATTATAGCAACAACAGCTCGTACCTTGACCAAGTCAACAAGGGCATTAGCAGTCTTAAGTGGCAACAGCAGCTCCAGCCTCTTCAGCTCTCCTGCTCTTTCCGATTCAGATTTCTTACTCACAGCCTTGCTCTTTCTTAGTCCCACCCATTTGGACTGAACCAATATTTCATAGAGGTTACATTTTCACTTCAGACCCATATGATTTAATTAACTGAGATTTCTTGTCTAAGAATAAATAGGGTTTTGCATTGTTCCTGGAATGGATAACCAACTTGGAAAACAACTGAAAATGTAAATCTGCCTTCTGAACATACATACACAGAGTGAAACTCAAGAGTCCTATGAGATTGTCATCTCAATACTCCCACTTGTATTGAGAAGCAGGGAGATGAGTACAGTTGTGATGGTAGATGAAGTAAACCATAAAGCTCCATACAAACAATAATAATACCAACATTATCCTTAACAGTGAATGCTTCTAGAGGTAAACATACCGTACATCTCAGGAGAATAGAGAGAAATGGCCTTTCTGGCTGGTGAACTGAATTTAACATCTCTGCTAATCCATTGACACTCTTATATAGAGCAGGGGTTTTAAATACAATATTTGGGAAACTTTAGATGCTGAGGCAGAGAATTGAACTTGGTCAAGGGGAAGTTTCTTGGGCCAAATTCTTAGTCTCACTGCCTTGGGAGGGGTTGTGTGTCTTTTAGAAGAATGTTATGACTTTTTAATCAGAGAATTGATAAACAGGGTAACTAACAGAGGTGTTACAAAGGGAGGTCCTTGAAAAACAACTGGGAATGATATCCTAAATCTAATCTATATCCAAACTCTAGAAACCAAATAGTGTCTGATTAAGAGGTTCCATCATGAATCTGACCCAACTCCGGGAGGCAGTGGAAGACAGGAGGGCCTGTCGTGCTCTGGTCCATGGGGTCACGAACAGTTGGACATGACTTAACGACTAGACAACTATGACAAGAGGTTCAGGAGGAAAGAATACATTTTTACACTCAATAGAACTCACAGTGGCATGTGGGCACATCTTCAGATTTGATCAGGGCTCTTTCTCCAACCAAAGTTAAGGTTGTGCACACTTTTTTGGTATAATCCAGATCAGTAAGGGGTTGCAACCTCTTCTCTCTTGGACCGTGAAAATGTTTTGCTAGATTATCCACGCATTCTCTGCACTCAGGGTAGCCTGCTAAGAGTTCGTTGTCCTTTCAGAGATTTCTCACCTCCAGCATAAGAAGAAGACTAAAACTGCTGCTCCTTTCTTGAAGTCTTTGCGATTTGGGCGAATATAGCGTGTTTTCCCTTTGAGAAGCAAAATATTCAACACACGCTGAAAACGTAGACATATCTGCTCACTGGGGCGGGGGGAGGAAGGTGTAAAGAGCTTCTACTGTATCCTTCTATATCTTTCCACACAGCCAGTTGCTAAATCTCACAGCTGTCATCCTTTCGCTCTGCAGTTTCCACAGAAAAGCACATTGAGATGCAAAACTCTGGCTGAGACCATTAAAAACAACAAGGCAATTGAGGATTTAGGTCCCTCCTTCTCTCTTCCCTTGCCTTTAGTCCAGTGGTTCCCAACCTGTTTTGATTCGCATCCCCCTTGTAATAGCCAAATAACCTGTGACAATCCCCCCCCCAATGTTTGCATAAAAAGGCATTTTTAGTGGGGCAAAGCGATCCCTTCTCAGAAAGTACAAGCTTCTTTCTCTCACCAAAGGGCCTGTTTCTCATAGATAAACGTGCACGCTATCTTTAAAATCTAGTCCCAAAACGTGAAGGAAGAAATTATTTAACAACGGCCACAAGACATATAAGGTGAGTTATGACCCCACCAGGTTGGGAAACATTCCTTTAGTCAGACTCCCATGCAAATATG